GAAGATCTTTTTAAGACTAGGGTCTCTTTCTAGTATGGGTTGCAACTGTCTGAGGATTTTCCGTACAGGTTCAAGGGAGGGGTGATATGTCATAACCAGTGGTGTGTGATTTATGGGGGTTTTTCTTCTGTACTGCAGCAGTTCTTCACATGGTATCCAGGTGGCTCTTTCAAACATGCGAGCTATCTCTCTGGAGGAATGTCCTTGTTGGGTGAAAGCCTTTTTAAGATTGGTGAGGTGGCAATCCCAGGGGTTCTCTTCAGTGCAAATTCGGTGGTATCTGAGGGCTTGGCTGTATATCACAGCTTTCTTGGTGTGTGCTGGAGTATTCTAGAGAAAGCTGGATGGAGGGATGGTGATTGTTGAATTTCTGATGGAACTCAGTTAGAGATTGCAGGTTTTCAGTCCAAATGATGAAGATGTCATCGATATATCTCAAGTATAATAAGGGTTTGATGGTGCAGTTCTTGAGGAAGTCTTCTTCCAGGTGGCTCATAAAAAGGTTGGCATACTGTGGGGACATTTTGGTGCCCATAGCAAATGAGAAGAGCACAGACCAACTGCTGAATCTTTCTTGGCCTGATGAAGGGTTTTTGAACCCGAAAGCTTGCTTAATAATTGCTTTCCAACTATTTAAGTTGGTCTAATAAAAGATATCAGATTCACCGAAAGACTCTTGTCTTCCATGTCTCTGGGCAGTTATGCACTGCCTCCTCTTCAGAGCATATGGCAAAGCCACAGTTTAGCTCCTAGGAAATTTAGTTTGCAGTGAAATGAGCTTATAGCTAAAATGAAGGAATGTTGTTTCTATTAATGTGAAGAGAATATTAGGAAAGGTTTAGATTAAGAATAAGGGCCTGGATACTCGAGAGGCTTACATCAGTGTAAGAAGGTTTTACACTGGTGTAAAAAAAATGTGGACAGACAACATAAACCCTTATGTTAGGGTAACTTCATCCAGTCCAATATAAAATTACCCCTGATAAAATCAGGTGTAAAACCCCATTGTATAATTTACGCTCATGGTATAATTTACAATCACAAATTTGGAAAAGGGGGGTGCAGAGGATGAGGTACATCATCACGTATAAAACAAATCATATTTTTCTCCAGTTAAAAAGAAACTAGAACTTTTACTAACATGCTAGGGGCCTAGAGTTGTATTATCTTAATATTGAAGCAAAAACAAATATAACTTCATTGGAATGAGTTAAGAACAACCTGAAGGGCTGTGAAATAGGATTTCATTACCAGGAGCAGCTAACAGGCAGCAGAATTGCAGAACAAAGGGTAGCAGGATTGGTGGAACAGTAAGACCATTAAAAAGAAGAGAGGGTCATTAACACCTGGGGAATAAAATGAATCAAAGCGAGGTGCAAGTGCACCAGTGCACCCCCTGGATTCATCCCTGCTTACCCTGCTATTGTCTGTCTGCTTTCATCCCACAAAGGCTGTTAAATCAAGGCAAGAAATTACCTGCTCCTCTGCTACCTAGTGATGACATGCTGTAGTAGCTACTTAAGTTGTGTGCAGCCCCTCTGGGATAGATGTGGGTCTTTCTAGTCCATATTGGATGGGTCTACATTAGACGTTTACTGTGGAGTTGCCTATTTAGGTCTGCAGTAAAGTCTCAGCATCTACATGTGTGGCCCTATGAGGACACAGTAAACTAATAAACACTGCCGTAGCATAGTACTTGTAAACACAAGTCCTATTCTATGGCGGCATTATTTAGTGCACTGCAACACACATTTACACGCTGATGGGGCTGGCTGGGGCAAAAGGGTGCTTTAGTGCAGGGACTGCCTGTCTGCTAGCCCTACACTGGAGCACACTTGTGTCCCGGTGAGCCCCTCCACAACACATTAAGCTGGGTCAGAGCAGCCTCAGGCTGGCAGGCTGACCCTCCATGCCCCTGCCAGTCAGGGCTGCTCTGACCTGGCTCAATGTGCTGTGGTCACAGGTGCATGTGTAAACGTGGCACCCAGGAACAATAAACTCAGGTGTGAACTGCACCAGAGTTTATTGCTTCACCTTAAATCATGTGTGGACATGCCCGCAGTGGTGTAATTAACACTAGTAGCATAACTAGTTGTGGGCAAGGTGGCTACCAACTGTGGGCACTGATTTTTAAAGGGGCATCTCTGCCCAGGCTACCAAATTTCCTATGTACTATGCTTTTTAGGGACACAAGCAATTTAACTTACTGTTTGTAATCATGTAGTCTGTCCAGGTCCTAAATGAATGAAGGAAAGATGCAATTATTCTTTCTATCTACCTACCTATCTACTTAGGCAAAGTCCTGACAGAAGGCAGAGGAAGAAATACCACTTATCTTCCGCAGTGATTAATCCCCCATTGGATACAATGGGCTTAGCTGACACAAGATATATCCGCACAAGCATGCTTCCATGTAATATATATTTTGTTGTCATGGCCACAATAGGGTACTGTAATTAATTCTCACTCAGCTGTATGCAAACACCAAAGCAAAATAACAAATATTATAATATATCAATGGAAATGGCCTCAGAAAATAAATGTTTTGGTAAAGGCTTTCTTCTGTGTTCAATCATTTTTGGCGTGAATTGTTTTTATATCAGCAAGTCAAATAAAGGAGAGAATGTATAGAAAAGAAATACTGCTTTTAAAATAAGCCAGCCATTTGACAAGGGGATAGCATCCAACAGCAGCAGCACTTCAACTAAATCTTAATAACACTCTCAAAACTTTTGCCAGTCTGTACTTCATCCTGTCTTCATGGTGAGTCTCATGTTTTTGCCAGTTTCAGCTCATGCATCTTATTTTCTGCAGTCAGGGAAAAATTCTCTTCCCAGTTCTGAAATTTATGTAATCACATTTATTATCTGCGCTATATCCCCCCCTCCCCCGTGTCTGCACATATTCCTATGGCATCACTGGAGGCCCTGCGCCACATGCAGAAAGGTGCAGGAATGATCGGTAGAAATTTTAGTGCAAACCAGAAAGGAGCCACGGGGGCTCTACTGAAGTTGTTTACATAGAAAAAAATCATGTTCATGTAGTAAACAGGTGCAATGCCTTCATCTCTTTCTAATGCCTGGTTCCAATAGAAATAGGGCTTTCCTACTTACCAGCAGTCAGCAAAGTTATTACATTAGAGTAAGGGTTAGAAACTTGTACTTTTTGTTGATTACATCCTAGGTTTGGTCTGATGTTTCTGCCTTGGGTGGCAGTGGCACATGAGGCAGTAGTTGCAGCTGGGCTACTAGCTCAGCAGTAAAGTAGTCACTGTTTTTGTGCCCCCATCACCCTCTAGTTGGGGCGTGGGACTGGTTCCCCAGTTGTGCCCACACCTTCATGACACAATTGGGTTCAATCTTCACTGTTTTAATTGTGCTTTACCAACACATGGGGGAGAGGTGTATTATGAGGAATGATCTCCGGAGAAAAGAAAATGCCCAAATATCATGATCATTAAAGTATATTCATTCTTAAAAGCAGACCTTAATATTTCAGTTGATCCTGCATTAAATGAGTTGCCATTATGAGTCAATAGAGTACTAAACATCATGTCTTTATTTCACAGCCACCAAGCAAAACTCTCTCCAGCATCTTAGGCAAGAGCAACCTTCAGTTTGCAGGGATGAGCATCACTCTGAATATCTCCACCACCAGTTTAAATCTGATGACACCTGATTCAAAACAGGTTTGTGAAGAATAATCCCTACCAAGGGTTTGATGAATTGTGTACCACACAGGGTGTTCTATGTACTCAAATATTTGTGTGCTCAAAACATAAAGAATAAAATGAGAAAAGAGTATGAAAATATAAGACACAGTGGATTAAATACTTTTTTTTCACAGATCTGCAGTGAAAATAACTGTACTTCACTTGTATAGAGTAATTCTGCTGCTTTCTCTAATCAAATTTACTTCACAGGGGCTCGTCTACACATGTATTTGATGTGGCACCGGTTTATTCGCAAATAACTCATGAGTAAATGATGCTGGGCATGCATCTACACATGCAGAGAAGCAGGAGCAGATATGCTGCCCATCTGCTCCCACTTGCCAGGGCCCTGCAATGGGCCCATGCCACTACTGGGGGCAGCTCCAGGCTCTGGCTGCAGCTGCCAGCAGCCAGAAGCCCTCTTCAAAAGGCAGCTTTGCTTGTTGCTTTCTGGCCAGCCACTTCCCTGGCCAGGATTACAAGGATGGCACATGGCAGCACTGTCCTCATTGCCTGTGCCTCCCTATGCTATGGCTGTTCCAGCCTGTCCCTGGCAGTGACAACCAGTATCCCATGCTCCTGTTGGATGCCATGGTGACCCTGCTGGACCACTGCATCGCTCATGGTCATCTGGGCCCTCCCACCTCTGCCATGTGCAGCAACCACTTGCCTGCCTGCCATGCACAGTCCCAGAACCACTACTATGCATTTGCTGCCTCCACCCTATTGGCTTGGCTGGACCCCAGCAGGGACGCTAACAATGGGCTCCAGGATGCCACCATCAGGGCCGCCATCACCCTCCTGGGCATCCAGCCCCACCACCTCTGGACCCACCAGGCCAGCCAAAACTGGTGGCAGCACATTGTCCAGCACACCTGGGATGACAAGCAGTGGCTGGAGGCCTTCCGCATGACCCACACCACCTTCCAGGACCTCCTGGAGCAGCTCCAGCCCCACCTGGCATGGCAGCACACTGGCATGAAGCCACCCCTCCCTGTACACACCTCGACCTGCTGAAGTTGGCCACACTCACCAGCCCGTGGTATGTCGGGCACCTGTTTGGTGTGGGCAAGGCCACTGCTGGTGAGGCCGTGCTGGAGGTGTGCAAAATCCTCCAGGACATGCTGGGACACACAGTGCTCTATGTGTGCAACCCCCTGGTGGTGGTGACAGGGTTCCATGCCCTGGGCATCCCCCAGTCCATCGGGGCCCTGGATGGGACCCACATCCCCATCGCCTGCCCGCCCCTTCTGGACGACCCCTACTACAGCCACAGGAGCTTTCACTCTGGGTGCTCCAGGCCATTGTGGATCACCAGGGCACCTTCAAGCACATGAGTGCTAGCTGGGCGGGCAGCCTCCATGACATCTGCATCTTCCAGAAATCTGGCCTGCTGGGCCTAGTGGAGAGTGAATGCTTTGTGCCAGGGGTGCCGGACCTGCAGATGGGCTCTATGGTGGTCTTGCCCCTGCTCATTGGGAACCCTGTCTCCTCACTCCTGCCCTGGCTCATGTGGCCTACACTGGCCACCTGGACCTCCTCCTGTCCCACTTCAACCATTGCCTTGATGGAGTGTGCCTTCAGCTGTCTCAAGGGACACTGAAGCTCCATTACCACCTGCCTTAAGTTCGCCAAGGACAATCTCCCCTGGGTCATTGTCGCAGCCAATGTCCAGGGCCACCAGGGCTGGTATGTGGTCCTGGCCCACCTGCGGGCAGCTCTGGCTCCCTGCCCCCATGGAGGCAGAGCAAGCAGCAGGGCTGGGCCTAGGCAGGGGGCTGGGTGGCTCCGGACCTGGGGCATGGGCCAGACCAAGGCCTTCAGGCTGCTGGAGGCGGCACAGGACCCTCGCCCAGGCCCAGATGGGGGGTTGCTGCTGGGCATCCGGTAGCTTTCAGAGGGCAGGCAGGGCTAGGGTTGGGGGCTAGGCAGTGGGTGGCACAAAGGTGACTGACAGGGCCAGAATGGTGTCCAGTACCTGGTGGTCATTGTCTGTGGTCTGAAGTACCCAGGCCAGGGTAGCATTCTGCTCCCACAGCTCCTCTACCCACTCCCACTCAAGGGCCAGGAGCTGTGCCCGGAACTCCTGGTCCTCCTGGTCCTCCTGGTCCTGCGCCTTCTTGCACCAGTCCTGCATCTCCTCGTGGGTGACATCCTCTGCCCACCACCTGTCATGGCAGGCCATGACTTCCACCTGCCAGGCCTAGGTATCCCCCAGGCAGTCATCCAATACTGTGACCGCACAGCTCAGGAGGAGGGTCCTGTCCAGGAGCCTCCTCCAGCAGAGCTGACGCATCCATAGGGCTCCAGCAGTGGGCAGTGGTGACCCTGAGGCTTAATCCTGACCCACTGCTGCTGATGCCCTGCTGCTGATGGCCATGGTGTCCCAGGCACACCTGTGCACCTGGCAAGGGACCCTGAACTATGACGGTGTGGGGGACAAGCCCAGGCTGCCCCACAACCTCTGCCACTGCCTGAAGCGCTGTGGCTGCACTATACGTCTCCGCCCCGCACAGCTGAGGAGGACACTGCTGCTGGCACCGACATGTTGCTTGGCGTGTAAGAGGCTTGTGTCTGCCTAGCTGCAGGACATGGGATGCTCAATAAGGTTTTGCACTATCTTCTACTTCTCTGCATGCTGTGGGGGGAACCTGGAGCCCATGGAATATGGGCAGGCTGGGCAGAGGGCTGGGGGCAGGGGTGAGGAGGACCCTCCCTCCTCAGAGCGGGGCTTATCACATGGCCAGGGCTGGCATGGCTGGTGGCTCTGCATGGTCACGGCTGTCGGTGATGGTGTGCAGCTCTGGCCAGTGTCCTTGGATGGCAGGGTGCGGCAGCAGGGCACCCAGCCAGAGGCCCGCTCTGGGGAGGAACTGGCACTGCTGGTGGCCAGTGGTGTCGTGGGTGGCCGTTCCTTGTCATGGGGGCTGGGGCTGTAGAGCTGGAGCAGCAGGTGCTGGCCCTGACTCCCTGAGCTCCTGCTGGAGGGTGCAGCCAGGGAGCTCAACAGGATAGGCTGCTGGATGTCTGAGGGTCTCTTCTCCAGTGACGTGTTCGCGGGGGTGTCCAGCCCAGCAGGGGTGGCTCAGTCAGGCTGCCTGTGCTGCTATAGAAATCACAGCTGTGGCCTGGGTCCTGGGGCACGAGTATGTCCATCAGTTGCTACATAAAGGGCATGGACTTATGGGAACTACCCGACCAATAATTATGCTCGGTGATGGAAACCCACTGTACCCACAAGACCTTGACCTTTATGTGGCACTGCCATGCAAACCATTTCTGCCCATGCTCCCGCATCTGGGCTGACAGACCCTCATAGACATGGGCATTGGAGTGCCTGCCTCATTCAAACTGGCACTGCACCTCTGCCTCACCCCACAGTGCCACAAGTTCACCAGTCTTGTCCATGGATCAGTAGGGGTCCCAGGTGGTGGGCACAGATGTGGGCATGGCAACAGACAAGGAAGACATGGGTCCCACACTGGCTTTCTGAACCCCTGTGTGTCTGTCCCTGTCCTGCCTGGCCTGGACAGTTGCCTGCAGTGCCCAGCACAGGGGCATGGCATGGGACTGGCAGCCGTGTGGCAGAGGCAATGCCCTGCAGCATCTGCAAATTCAGGGCAAGCTGCTGGGGGTGGGCTGCAGGCAGATGGAGCTGGACTCCGCAGCTAAAAGCTGCCTGCACCTGGGCCTGGGGGCTGGTAGGCCTGGCTGGATCCTGCAGCAGCCTGCAGGACTTGACAGTGCAGACTTGGGTGCTGGCAGTGGCACTGGGGTGGAGGCAGGCTAGGGCACACAGGTGCCTGGAGTGGATTCAGGACCTCTGCTAGTGTGCCCCAAGGCTCTGAGTGCCTGCAGGCTAGGGCAGGGGAGGCTCTTAGCCGGGAGCCCTGGGGCTAGCTTCAGGCCAGCACCCTAGTGGCATGGCTGACCTGGGAGCAAACTTGCTCCCGGGTTGTGTCTACACACGCATAACTGAGCAGTAACTAAACATTAACTAAGCATGAGCAAATTTGCTACATTCAAATTTACTTACAATTATGTTTTTACTGCGCAATAAGCATGCGCACGTGTAGATGTGTGTGCTTACTGCATGGTAAACTATGCTGCTGCACAGTTAAGTGTCTCAGGTAGACATGCCAAGGGTGAAAGAATTTTCTGGCCATGGGATTTTTTTTGGTCCAGTTACAAACTTTGGTTGTGCTTGAAGAAGGTGTCTGATTCAGGCATATCCTAAGAGAGGAGCAGATTTCTTCATTCTCTCCTCCCCCCAGCCTTTTCCTTTTTGCAGTTTTAAAGGACAGTCTATTCATAAGGTGCTGTTCTAAACAGCTTTGAGATTTTGCACTGCAGTGAAATGTCTGCCTTTTCAAAAAACAAGGGAGCCTATTTCAGTCCACTCCTTTCTGTTTCTTCCTTTGTGCTGAAAGTGTATACTGACTTTGGGGAATCACTGCAGCGGATTGTGAATGATGTATGAGTTGAGAAAAATCCTTGCTCAGTATACAGAGAGAGCAGAGTGTTGCATAATCGCTGCAATGCTATTTGCTGTGAGCTACATACTGTGTTAAGGAATGCAACTTTCTGCCCAGATACAGCTAGGAAAAAAAAACCCTGCTGTGCTCAGAAGCCTCTAGATAAAAAAATAACAAGAAGCACAAACCTATATAGATATTTAAACGGTTGTTGTTATTACTGCATTTCTATTGATTTGTCTTTTGCCCACCCTCACCTTCCGATACAGAACGCTGCCACCTTCTAAAGTAGTAGCAGAAACATAGTAGTAGCAGCACAACTGCAAGCTGTAGTGGCTTGCACTTTTGTGATAGAACATGGCAGCATGTGTTATAACTAGAGCTACTGAGCAAAGGAGCGTGCGTTTAATATGTTCCATTTCTAAAAATATCAAAACTTGAAAAAAATCTGTGACCTTAGTTAAAGACCAGGAATAATTTTAATAAAGGGCCAGCTCTTCAGCAATGAAGTTACACTGATTTACCTATACCTGAAAATCTTCCCCAAATTATTTCAGCTTCTCCTGTGATATAGATAGAGGAAATTCCAGTGAATTGGGATCATTAGAGATGGCTAATAGGAGGTATAGCCATGTCTACTATGAGAAATGATGAACTGCATCTGGCCACAGTGACTGGGAAATAGAAGAGTCTTTGAAAAAAGAGCCTTCTGTTGATGGTTCTCTTTGTTTCTGGTTTGTCTCATATTAGATTACCCAGGACATAGAATCATAGAAAATGAGGGTTGGAAGGGACCTCAGGAGGTCATCTAGTTAAACCCTCTGCTCCAAGCTGCACCATCCCCAACTAGATCATCCGAGCTAAGACTTTGTCTAGCTGGGTCTTAAAAACCTCCGAGGCTGGAAATTCCATAACCTATAAATTTGAACCTATAAAGCCAGATAAAGTGTGATGCGTTCACTCTGGCATACCTTTAAGAATGCTGAAAATAAGACTGGCTTTATGATTAGTCTTTTGCGATGCCGTGCAAGAAAGATGGGCTGGCAATAGTCTCCTGTCCCTGGACTGGCTGGGCTTGGAAGCAAAGAAGGAACAGAGTTCTCAGTCTAATGTGTGGGAAGGGAAGTGTCAGGGACTGTTTGAGTCACTGTACAGTAATATTTTTATGATATTAAATAAGGACAGAGCTGGATGATATTTTTCAGCTAAATATTTTTCCACTAAAAATACAGATCTGGATGGCCTGAAATTTTCCCCTAATTAATTTCAATTTTGTAGCATTGTTTCAGTCAAAAGGCCCTTAAAAATGCTGGACAAATAAAATTCTGTTTTGTGACATTTGGTTAAAACATTTTTTTAAACTCAGGAGTTAAACATTTAGTTCTGGGTCGAATGAAACATTTTGTTTGATTCAAATTGAAATGTATACTGAAATTCTGAAAGAAGATTCAGTTTGCATCAACCTGAATTTTTTTCTTTTTCAATTTTCCAGCACTGCCAGTGGATTAGGAAAACATTCTGGTCATTCCCCCGTGTAGTAATGTCACTGTGGTGTGGGGTTTTGAAGAAGGCTTGGGAGGAAAATCCTCCTTGAAGACTAAGAGGAATATAGTCCTCCGCTGAGAACAAAAGAATTCCAGATCTCTACAAGGGCTCTGATCATGTGAGCAGTCTGGGCTGGAAATATTGTGAAAGCAGCATACTTTACAAGGAGGAAGACATTCATATTCTTCTCTGGTGACCTGTAACTCTGAAAGAGCAGACTCCAGAGAAAATCAGGTCCAGCCTGTTTCTCACAAGTACACAGAGCTGCAGGAAGAAAAAGTGGAAGGAAAATAAGTTGGCTCAGAGATTATCATTTTCTATAACCTTCCACTCCCCAGACAAAGAATATTTGCTTTTTATTTTTCCCAAAAGAGGCACTGGCTGCTATTCTTGCATATATTTAGTAAGAACCCAATCCTGTGACACTTAAATCAAATGGTATAACTCCTTTTGGTACAGGCTCAAGCTTTAAATTAACTTGTCCTTCCTGGTTGTTCAATGGAGTTAATACTGAAGGATTTTAAAAGTTAAATTTCAGCACAGCAATACAGAAGAACCATCCTTCTTAGACTGGAGATTCCTAGTAGTACATACATCTTTTCTGCTACACTACAGACAAACACAATGTAAACACAAATCTGTTAGGCAAATTGAATATGGTCATTTCAGATGCACCAGGATTCACCTGAGAGAAGGATCAGTAATACTTTAATTTACAGCTGGACTCGAAATCCTGAAAGTGTATCTTATTTTGGATAGGTCTTAAATATTTAATTGCGTAACAGATGTTAGAAGCAGTAGCATATTAAACATATTAAGCATTTTCAGCATGTACAAAATGGAGTAACTTAAAAAAAGATAAGAACCCTCCCCTGTACAGATCTTTAACTGCTGAAAAGCGGGGCGGTCCATTGACCTCAATAAGGCTGGGGTTGTAGTCCATAGTTATTCTTCTCCCTTCTAGGGCAAGTGGCATTGTAAGAGCTTTAACACTAACTGAAAGAAAATACTGAGGAACCTAGAGACTTATATAATATGCTGATGAGTGCTATATAAATACCTCTAATACTGTATACTGCAGTCCCATGCAGGTGGCCCAACAAAACTCTTGGTGGATAACACATAAGTAAAGGATGTATGCATTAGGCCTGATTCTCAGCTACATAAAAGCTCCTTTACATAGCTCTGACAGTGTAATTGGGAATAGAAATGGGCAACCATAATTCACAACTGCTTGTAGTATAAAGACGTGTCAGGTGTGCAAAGGTCCATTTAATTTAAACTCAATTTTTAGGTTTATCAAACCAAATTAGCTACCCTTAGGGGGACTACTCATCTTTTCTATTTTCCTGAAAGCTTTTTGCAAGATTTCATACCAAAGACATGAAAATAAAAATAAAATGCATCAAATACTTCTTTAATTGGAAGTCATTTGTGCCTTTTTAAAAAACATTTGTCTGGTATTGATTTCAACACTATTTTGACCCCATTCAGCTAGAAAATCTGTTTAGTTTCCACTCCATCAAACTGCACGAGGGCATGGAAACTCCTAGAATCCACCATTGACAGCCATGCAGGAACATGGAAGAATCAGAGTTTGAATGAACTAAATTCTTGATCACTTTTTATCATTATTGGATTATAAAGAAAATTGACTTCAGGAGATTCAAATTTCTCCCAGCGTCTTTATGAAGCCATGTTTTCAAACAAGAAATGGTGTGACAAAGTTATGTGATGTATATGAGCGCTCAGTACACTTTGTCATTGCTATTATAAGATTTTTTTATCATTGCTATTATAAGATTTACAGTGGCTTTCACTTTAAAGAGTGTAAGAACATAAGGAGCACCATACTAAGTCAGACTATAGGTTCATTTAGTCCACTACTTTATTTCTCACAGTGGCTTGGGGGGAACCTGGGTGACTTCAGGCCGGTCCCTTGGCTGTGTACATCTCTGAGTAGGCTTTCACGGGGTAATGTCCATAGGCTTCTTAGGCCTTGTTACACATTAATTTTCAGTGGCTCAGGGAGCTCATACCCCTGGGCTGCCCACACATTACATCTGTAAACTGGTTTTAGGCACAATTAAGGTGGCCTAAAGTTATGCCATTCCAGGTTTCTCTCTGATCCACATTACTCAGCTCATGTTCCACAAATCGGTGACTCCTCAGAGATAAGTTGCCCAAGTTTCAGTCCTCCAGCATCCCAGGATGCAGCATCCCCTCCACCACTCTCCTGTTCTGTGTGAACAAAGTTTCCACCCCCTTAAATCTACTGCTCAGGGGGTGGTACTGGCATCAAGCCAACCCCTTCTCCCAGCGTTGGGGGTATGACCTGGCTAGGATGCTTCCAGGGATACAGACCAGTCTGGGAAAGAGGGTTAGGAGGGGTGGAAGGGAGAGCAAAGTAGGAGGCCAGATCATTGTTCCCATGAGATGGGGCTATCCAGTTGTAATCCTGATTCCAATCCCAATTTCCTAAAACATGAGACTTTCTTTAATTTACTTTTTGTTTCTTTAAAAAAAAATTTTTTTTATTTTAGCCTTTAGTGGCTTCAGTGGTTGACTTCCTTCATTTCACCACCCAGCCCCTAGCCGTCATTCCCACCCATCGCCTCCCCCCCTCCCATTTCACCTTCCAGTACCTATCATTACTCTCCCACTTCCAGCTTCATCCTCCACCCCCCATCAACCCATCCCCACCTAGAGCAGGGAAAGAAACCTATCTTGGCTTGCCAGCCCTCTAGTGGCAAATCACAGCTTTGCAGGTCCAGGACAGTCAGAGAAGGTTTTTAGCCTGAACATGTGACTCCTCTAAACTTAAGCTAATGCTAATACAGATCAACATTTGACAAGCTTAAAGTGTAATGGTTAAAGCCCTTAGATACATTCGAGGGGCAGTAGACGCCAGTTGGAATGCTCTGCTTGATGTCTTCCCTTGACACCCTGGTTATTAACCTATGACCTGTACTCCTGTTCCTGTTTTATCACCCTTTGACTTAATTGTTATACTTCTGCTAACCATTGAAGTGATGCTAGTAGTTTTTGGTGGGTGTACGCCTATTGTCACCATGTAACAAAAAGAAGAGTAGAATAGTTCAGCAAGGCATATCGAGAAAGAAAGAAAACCCCAAGTAGAAACATCTGATAGTCTTAAGTTTGTTTACAGTATCATCATGTTTCCTGTAAAATATAAGAATTATTTTGATCCTGGCTTTTACTTTTGGGGTGTACTTCATTTTTACAAGCTCTTAAAAAAAGCTCCAAGCTACATAAGAAAGCCTACTGACTTATACTTAATTTTTTTGTCTGATCCACACAGATCATAGCTAATCATCATATGCAGTCTATTTCTTTTGCATCTGGAGGTGATCCGGTAAGCATTTCTTTAGCTTTTCTTTTACTCTTGTTGGTATTGTTATCTGAGGACCTTATCATTTATCCCATACATGGCATTTATCACATATCCTACTTAAAGGAAAATATAAACACAATAACTCCTGTTTCTTGTTTCATAAATTCTTGACTATTACCATCAAACTCTCTTTAGGGGAAACACTGACAGGCAGTAATAAATCCTCCTCTTCGAATGACTGAAATGAAAAGGCATTGAAAAGCCTCAATTGTTTCATATAAAACTTGATAAATATTGCAGATGTGACTCCCTGTTTTGCACAGTAAGCTGCTTTGAAAAAGTAAACTCAAATTGGTGTCATTTGAATCTTCATCTGCATTGTTACCCCCTTTATCCTCCCTGCAATGACAGACTTAGAATGCAGTTATATTTCTAGTAAGGTCATTCAGTGTAATCTTTTTCCCCTCTCTTTTTTTCCCCAACTTCACCTTGAGAAGGTAACAGAGTGAGGTAAATCCTGTCCTCAGAAATGTTCATTTCACACAGGTGTAACAATGTGTCTGGGTATCCAAGACAGCTGCCACACACAGGGGCAGTGGTTATTTCCGCTTGCTGCTACCACCACTGGCACGATCACTTGCCCTGGTCCCCCCAGCCTAGTTATGCTACTGATTCCATACGTGTCTTTGAAGACAGAGTTTGATTTTTTTAGGGAGAAGCCCCATTTCCCTAAATTGGCCAAGTTCAGTTTTACTCTCTGATACACATATGGTGTTTGCACTTACCTCATGCATATCAAAGGCAGACCGGTGTGCTTGTTGCTTATCTACATATTTTTACAAGAGGTCCATCTAATTTCACACTAAATATGCTTCAAAATTATTTCCCAGCCATGAAGAATTGAAGGAATTTCAAAACAGTAAAAGTCTCTCCTGAGTCTTCAAAGCTTTTTAGTTGAGATTGATTTATATTGCCAGGGACAGGTCCACTCACATAACATATGTAAGGTGCTACGTATCCTCTGCATAAGAGTTCTCTTACCTTTACTATGGTATAATTTAATATAATCCGTTTCTCTTAGAAGAAGATCCTTAATGTGTTCGCAGTAGGTTAGATATGAATACACCATAAAGCACAAATTCATTTTTGAGAACAGCTCTGTTAAACTCAGTGAGATTACAGCAGTGATACATTTGGAGCACACTACAATAATAATTCAGGGAGCAAAGCACTGATCAACAGCAGCTCAGAAATACAACAGATTGCCATAAATGCTGTAAATGAACAATTCCTGCAGTGGGCAGAGGAGCGATTAGTACAGTTCCCTGCCTCCATAAGAAAAAGACTTTGCCCCTCCATCTGCCACCCCAAATGCTAAGTCCTCGAAACACCACTGCCTCCTGCCCACTGGTGGAGTGAACAGAACAGCTGCAGCAGTATGAGATTTGAACTGGAGTAAACAAGCTCTTCCAAATGTTTTCGTGAGACAAAAAGCATGCCACTGAGTCACCAAGCTATCAGAGACATCACATTGCACCAAGGATGGGAGCCAGCCAGAGCTGATGAAATTGTAAAGTAGTGTTGACAACAAGACCCCTTTGCTATGAGCTCATCCTGGGGGTGGAGAGGGTAGGTGTGAGTATTCACTAATACTCAGCAGGCTTGTCACAGTAGGCTAATCACAGAGAGAACTTTAAATAAAAGAACAAGCTTGCTCATATGGCAGGTGGCTCTTTTGTCGCAGGCACAGAGAAGGAAAGGAAGATGCAAAGGTTGGGTTTTAATTAGGCCACAACATTACTCACCTGGGACTTGTGTGGCAATAATTTGTACAGTGCTGGTCATCGTTTCTTAATCACGTTTATAAGGTAAAGGACTGCATCATTCCCCCTACCTCTCTGGAGCTTTCTCTCCATGGGTTGGTGATCCCCCAACACCCACACCTCGGACGAAGTTTTAGGGGATGGAGAAAGGGGTTGTCTCCTTTCTGTATGAGACATTTTTCCAGCTCAGGTGCCCCTACACTACAGTTCAATCTGCAGCATATGTCTACCTTCTATCTCACACACAAACAAGATTGACTGTTTTGAAAGAAAATCCAATTGTGCCCAAATAGCAGGGCTCTCAAGGATGCTCTTCATCCCAGAACTTCAGTCTATCATTTTGATACTCTGAGCCCAACCCTACAAGGGACTGAAGACAAGGACTGAGGCTTTGAGTCTTTGCTCAGTCCTGACACAGAGCCTGCTAAAGTCAATGAGAGTCTTTTAATTGACTTCCAAGGGCTTTGAGAGAGGTCCTTACACAGCTGTAAATTAAGGGCAGTGCTTTTCAAGGCACACTGGTGTGACTGAGTGGGAGCAGAGCCAAGATCATACATTTTTTGCAGTGAAATAAGAGTTGATTTTGCAGAAGCTTTAGCGGTATCCAAGCAGCCAGTGTTCAAACATTATAGGCATGGTGCTGAGCAGGGCATAGTTAGTACTTTTCTACAGCATGCTTGAAATCCTTATATTCAGTGGTCTTTTGTCATCATGCAAAAATGTTCTTGTTCATGATACATATCTTCCTTTTCTCATAGGATACAACAGACTATGTTGCATATGTAGCTAAAGACCCTGTTAACCGCAGAGGTAAGGTACACATCATATTTGGCACCTTCTTTCCTTTAAAAACTTTAATTATTAATATTTTAATTCCTGGTATTTTGGGGATTTTTCCAGAAAACAGAAATGAAACAAAACAAAGGCTTTACACCTGAGCTGATAATTGGAACAATGACATAGCAGTAAACAGGGACCACACACAAGTTAGTCCAGCAGCACAAAATTGTTCTTATTCATGAAATATATTTCAGTTTTTTGGGGTTCTTTTCATGTCTGAACAGGACCTTCTGCACCAACTCACTGCATCTTGCAGGAAAGGAGAACATAGCCTTTTTTTGTCTGTGATCTTGATTAAATCTGTTACCTAATTTTCCTGCTTGAGATCAGACATCCATTTCACTGTAAGTCCCCCTGTTAGTGATTGTTTCCAATGCTTGGGATTTTGGATGTGGCTTAGATTCTCCTTAACAAGAGTAAATCATAGAAAAAGAGAGAGGAAATCATAAACTAAAAGGAGAGCAACAAAATAAACTCCCCTGCTCTTATAACAAAAGGCAGTGTGTTTTAGTTACAAAATATTGTGTAGTGTTTCTAAGATTGAGCCCTGTAATGATTTAGGAGCCTAAAGTGGGTCCTAGGCAGAATTAAGGAGCTCAAGTCTAAAGTTGTGATGCTGAAACCTCCTTACACAGCTGTACATTAAGGGCAGTGCTTTTGAAGACACGCTGGTATGACTGAGTGGAAGCAGAACAAAGATCATATATTTTTTGCAGCGGAAGAAAGAGTTGCTTTTGCAGAAGCTTTACAGCCTAACCATGGAGGTGTAAACATCCCATATGTGCCACAGTCTATGACCTTATCGTTCTCTTTGCTGCCTACAAATTTTATTTTTCCTTCTCTGTAGAAGCAACTTAAGCTTGACAGGGCTGAGGAACTTGATGCTTAAGCCCTATTGGAATACAGAAACTAGGCATACCTAGTCCCCTTAAAGGCCATATCAGATAGGCCTTTGTAGATCATGCCTAACAGGGAATGACAGGATTGGAGTCCCTACAAGTTAAACTGGCAGTCACCCTCTGCTCCCAGGCTTCTCTCTCCTGCCCCCTACCAGTGCAGGTGGACCACATCATGGGAGCCTCTGAGGGCTTTTTTAAGTCCCCAAAGCAGGTAATAATCCACCCTTTGCACCTTGCTTCCTCTCCATGCTCAGAGGCATGTCCCCTCCACTCCCCTCTCCTTCACTCCTATCCCACCTGCTGCTGCTTTCCCCACTGTCCCAGGGGTGGGGAAAACTCCAGGCCCATTCCTACCTGGTCCAGTTGAGCTGCCTGGGGGCTGGGCTCAGCTGGGGACCACAGCAGCAGCAATTGGTGGGAGGGTCCCCTCTCTCATGCCTGCTCCCAGAGAGCTGGGCAAGTAGGAGGAGCCTACCCTCCTGCTGCTGCTGCTGTTGTTGCTGTCTCTGACACTGTTCAGTCCAAAAGGATGGGGTGTCACTGTGCCGCTGTACCCCCTCCAGCTCCACCCCTGGATGCAATAGCGTAAGTGGTTGAAAAGTAGGAAACCCAGGTTTAATTTTCTTTTTTGCCTGACTGGGTTCAAATTCTCAGATGCCACAAAAAGATCATTGGGTTGCAGCTGTACCACTGTGCATACAACATTGGACCAGAAAGACAGTTTTTAGAGTGCATTTGACTCTGTAGTCCAAGGACAGGAGGGATGAAACCTAGGGGCACCTGTACACGTGACAGAACTCTGCTCCGAGTGTGCAGAGCAGACTCCATTAATGGAGCCTGCTGTGAGTCTGCTGGAGTGTGCTAATTAGTGTGTTACAGCAGTTTCCAAGTCACATGTATACAGCATTCTTAATGAGCTTTAGTTAAAGCACCCCTGCTGCCATTTTGAAGTGCAGGATGCTGAATACGCATGACGCGGTGGATGTTTTAATTAAAGCAGCTCTCAGAGCTGCTCTGCTTAAAGTGCCCCCTCTGTCCATGCCCCAGAGCACATGTACTGATGCCCTGGGGTTTTAGTCCCTGGTCCCAGTAATGTATTGTGTACCTGCTTCATGTACTGTGTGCCTTACTTCCAATTTGGATTTGCTTAGCCTCAGCTTCCTGACCCTGATTCCTGTTATGCCTTTCTCCACCAGGTTAAAGAGCTGTTTAGTGTCTGGTATTTTCTCCCAGGGAAGGTACTTATACACTGTAATCAAGCTACCTCTTAATTTCTGTTTTTTGTTAAGCTAAAGAGATTGAGCCCTGTAGGTCTCCAACTGTCAGGTATTTTTCCAACCCTTGACTCATTTTTGTGGTTCTTTTCTGTACCCTCTCCAATTTTTCTACACTTCTTTTAAAATGTGGAAAAGCATCTCATTAGTCCTTTTTTTGCTATAGCATTGCACTGAGAGCTCACTATAAGTTACTTGTCCATTATGTCTTTGCTTTCCAGAATACAGCCTTCCGTTCTGTTGAAATGGTCTGAATACCTCTTTCCTAGACATACAAGCTTGCATTTCCCTGTATAACTTCGCATTTTGTTTGACTGAATGCAGCTTACCAGTATACTGGGGGTGACTGCCTCATTCTTTATCATTCTACCAAGCTTTGTGTCATCTGTAAATTTCAGTGGAAGTGACTTTGATATTTCCCTCTCCTTAGTCCTTTATTAATGAACATGCTATTGAATTATTACTATCTATGTTTGCATTTACAATGGGCTGCACAACGCAGACATGTACAAGAAGACTTATTTCTCCTCCAGAGAGGTTAAAATGGCAGAAAATGCTTTTCCTTTCAAAATCTAATGCTCTTGCAACCTAGAGGCAGTCTGCCTTCCACCCACCCAGCTTGTAAAATACACTAAGGAAATAGACCTGTGTGAGCCAAACCTTTCTCTCTTTTTATAAGAAACATATTTTCTACTTGCTCAAAGTCCATTCTCGTATCCAAGGAGACAGGTTACCCGTTACGTCATCTTCTGATACCAATTTCTTGAGTATGACTCATCCTTCATTTCAGCCCCCAACAAGGTTAGCAGCAGGCAGTATACCTTCTTGAGATACCTGTTTCCATATGGATATTACAGTTTTTTGTTCAACTTAACTGCTTTCAGACTATGCGTTTGCAGGTAAGACACTATGAGAGCCAGGGAATCCCTCTGTGCTGATAGTTAAACACCACCAACAGTGCAGTTTATTTCTCTAGGGCAAATTCATGTGGTCTGCAAAATGCCAGTGGCATTATGTTCTGTCTTTATGACAGTGAAATGCACTGGGTTTGGATGCAAAATCTCTCTGTAGCCCAGGAACATTTCCTGCAAATCAAAGCATCATCCAAGTCTATGGGCAGGAATAACAGGCATTGCATAGGTTGAAAAGACCCTGGAACTGCATACTTGCAAATTTGGTGTCCCCCAGCTTTGGCTGGCTCACAGATCCATCCTGTATGCTAGCGTGTTGGAGGCGATTGCCTAGACCTGCCTCAACTGCAGTACACCTGTGACTGACAAAATTGTACAACCAAACACAAATGTCACCATTTTCATTTATGTGTGTTGTTAGGTTAGTATGTAGAATCCACAGAGCCCCAGTGCTAGGCACTGGAAGCCAGTCCCTACCTTGGCAGTGGAAGCCAATCCCTACCTTGAAGCATTTAATAGTCTATATAGACATGACGTAAACAACAAAGTGGGAGGGGAGGGAGAGAGATTAAATGCCTCATTTAAAATGGCAGAGCCAGCTAGGAACAAAACTATAATGTGAACTGAGGACTCCTGGCTCAAGACAGTACCCTGTTCATGAACTCTGCTGCCTGTCCAGAGATGACAACATTTTATGAATAGGACAAATGATCTCACAGAGGTTTTTACAGTGCCTTTTCTTTGTACCAGTGAGGTGCATCTGCCACTATTAACTTAGTTCAGTGATTCTCAGTCTTTTCAGTCAGGGCCCTCCTCCACAACTTTGAATTTGGCGGCACCCCTGGTTGAGAAAATTTGCCTCTGCCTATGTCAGTGATTCTCAGCCAGGGTGCTGCTGCATGCTTCTGCCCATATGAGGGTTTTCTGATAATGAAGGATATTTAACTCATTTTCCTGAACTTCAAGAGTTTTTAGAATGAAGGGACTGGACTGCGGTCTCACATCAGCTTTTTAAAACAATTTTATGATGCAGTAATTCTGTCTAACCTTAGTGGAATCACTCCAGGCTCAACATATTCTAAGTGTGAGGAGAATTAAACCCATTGTCTGGAAGTAGGTGTAGCTAACTGCTTCGTATTTACATTTATGTTTACATGATGAATAGAATAGCTATGCCATTCATCACTGCAGCATGGTAAGGATTGTATGAATAATAGTTTATAAATATCATTGTCTTCCCTTCTTTATTTTAGCATGCCATATACTGGAGTGCTGTGATGGCCTTGCTCAGGATGTCATCAGCACTATAGGGCAAGCATTTGAACTTCGATTTAAGCAATATTTACGCTGCCCCAGTAATATACCTGCTCTCCAGGACAGGTGAGTAACATTGCTATAGAAACCTTCTAAATCAGTATTTCTGAGCCAGTTGGAGTTAATCCATGACTGCACAAGGGAGTTTTAGCAAAACTGGACACTCTTTAAAACAGTTTCCTGCTAAGTTAGTGAAATGGTATGGATGTGACATAATCATTTTAAAAGAATGTTTAAATATGACCTCATGGCTAAATATTAGCTCTTAGAGAGAGAAAAGGAAGGCTGGATTTAGAGGTGATGTGTATTAAAATATATATCACAAATGAGTAAGCAAGAATGAGGGAGACAAAACTGGTGTAGCTTGTATGCCTGATGACCAGAAGAAGTATGTTACACAACTTCTCTAAATTTGGCTCAGGGTCGGTAACCTAATGTGAAGCATGATTTTAAAATAATCCTGCCCAGCCCCACATATACAAGACATATCAGTCTATACCTAATTTAAATCCAACTTTTCTTCCAATTTGTGTGGATCCTTAGATTGATACAAATGGTTTGGAGTTGAATCTGCACAATTCCCTTGTAAGATCTCAAATATTCCCAAAAAATTTGATTTGCTGTTTATAGAGATTTTTCTTTCTCCTGGAAGTCAAACTGCTGATAACCTTTATGCCTCCTGTGACAAACAGAGCCAACTTATGGCCCGGTTGGGAGTCCAGCCTGCTCCTTTTTTCCTAGGGCCAACCACCTACCTTTTTCGCCTGCCACACCTTGATGTCATATTGTTTTGATGTTAATAGGTGGGAGGCTGCCCTTCGATCTTCCCTGATGTCAAGGGCCTAATATACAAGATCCAACCATCTCTACATGTGTCCCATGCTTCGCAGATGTTTCTTCCAGCTAGGTAGCACTGGGACTTCAGCTCCAGAGCCTCACGTGAGACTCTTACTCCCCACCAGAGCTCAAAGTCCCAGCACCCTCGCACATGTTTCTAGGCCTAGCACCTGGCCTCCCTACTGGTACACACACCAGGCCTTCCATATCCAGCCTAGCACCCGGCCTCCAGTCAAGTAGCTCACACCGGGCCTTGTCAACTGCCTCCTTTACCCCAGGGCCTCACCACTGCACCCCTCAATACTCTGCCCTACTACTTGGGCTGCTTAACTACCTCCTCATCTCCAGGGCCTCACAACTATGCCCTACAACTCAACAGCCTCTCACAACACTGCCCCAAACTCAGGCCTCACTCTCCCCCCTCTCCCCACCCGGGCCACACCATTCTGCCCTCTCTCAGGGCCATGCTACTGCACCCTACCACTTGGACTCAGGGTCGATCACCTCCATAGGCTCTGGTGGCACTCTGCTTGCCATGCCTGGCCTCCCACTCCACACTCACACTTGAGGCTCCAGGTAGAACACCTCTGCAGGCTCAGGTAGCACTCTCCTGCTGTGCCTGGCCCACCTCCAGAGTCTAATACCCCACAGGGCTCAGGTATTCTGTGTGCCTGGCCCTGAGCTCAAAGCCCACCCAAAGGTGGGGGCAGGGGTTTAGGTGCTCCCAACCTGCCTTACACCAGGATGGTCCTCAAACCTGGCATGTAATTGGCCCTGTCTTGCCACAGGCAGGACCACTAGGCCTCCC